TCAAATATCTGTGTTCAGTCTAGAACTGTCAAAAAATATGATTTTTACCATCTTTTTGTTGCACTGTGGTGTAATCAAATATCAAAAGACGTTTTAGAGGGGCTCCCGAGTGGCGCAACCGTCTAAGCGTTGGCCCTATCATCAGGAGATTGCGAGTTCCATCCCTGGTGATGCTACAGCCATCCGTAGCCGGGAGCCCAAGAGAGCACAATTGGCCTCGCTCTCTCTGGGTGGGTAGGATGGCTCCCCTTCTCCCCCCATCACTCAGCGCGATGCTAGTCAGCGCAGGCGTCTGTTAGCTGACGTAACAGATCTGGCGGTTGGCGCTTTCCTCCAAGCGCGTTCGGCTGTCCGATGACGTTGCGTGAGCGGCAGCTCGAAAAGAAGCGGTGGCACTTCACAGGTCTCGGAGGAAGCCTGTGTTAGCCTTCACCCTCCTAGCGTTGATAGCATCGTGTGATTGGGGGAGTCCTAACTAGCGGGTGGAATTGGACACGACTAAATTGGGGAGAAAATTGGTCAATAAATTATTAAAAATAATAATAATAAAAAAGACGTTTGTAACAAAAGTTGTAGCGATTTTGAAGGACGATTACAATAAATAAGACTTGTCTTTTGACTTTTGTTTATGAATCATGCTTAATTTGACCAAAGACATGAACTAACACAGTAAAAAAGGTCATTTTTGATTTCAAATTGACTGTTCCATAACATGTTTTCTCTTTCTCTTTATCTCTCTCTCTTACTCTCTCTCTCACACACATTTGTTCTCTATCTCTCTCTGACTTTCTCTTTCTCTCTTGCTTTCTTACTCACACATTGTTTTTCTCTATCTCTCTCTGCCTTCCTCTTTTTCTCTTGCTTTCTCTCTCTCAAACACTTTAACACTCTTTTCCTTTCTCTTTTTCTCTTGCTTTCTCTTTCTCCCTATATAAAAACATGTTGTAAGATGTACAGAGAAATGTCAACATATAAAATGTAAATAAAGTATGTCTTCATTAAAATGAAATTTGGCAGATTATCACTGCACTCTTAGCAAAAAGGGTTCTACAGTTTATTACTTACAGTTGTGGAACCCTTTTTGGGCTATAAAGAACCATTTGTTAAAAGGTTCTTTAGAAAACAATATCATTGCTGAAAAACTGTATCTAAATTTTTGTCAATTTTTATTTTTGTATATCATTTAAACAGGGCAGCTGCTCTTTACACTGTGTGAAAATGCCATAATAAATAGACCAATAGAAACGTTCCAAAATCACTTGGAATAAAAAATTCCTTACCTTAATTTACGCTGAACGCTAAAAAATCTTTTTCTGTCTCCTGTAAAGTGGCTAGTTTTGGAGATACATGTTTCTCCTTGGACAGCCACGATATATAAGACATTCTCAATTACGAAAAAGAACCATGTAAGCATTCAAATGATTCTTTGAGTTGTCATGGTTCTGTGTATAACCACTGACTTTCCTAAAGAATTCCTGAAGAACCTCTTTTTCAAGGGTGTATACTTATACATAAGTGTGCAGAATAACTTAAAGCATTCAGGTGGTTGTATTTACAATATATCACATTTTCTAAGGCCTCATGTGGCCATTTTTATTTCTCCCCCTCCTCTGTCTCTCTTACTGGAGAGTAATGTGTCTGGTTCCTCAGCACGCGTCTTTTGCTCCATGAACTGAACTGTTTGGACAGTTTTCAGCGTCCAGAGAGATTGTTGAGTCGCAGTGTCTGAAAGCCGGAGTTATGACCACATCGCTTTATCGTTTATGCTCTCCCCCACGTTTTGCAATAAACTCTCCCGGGTCTGAAACCACTCGCTGTTCTGTTCTTAGACAGAATCAATGAGAGAAATCCAATGAACAGAGCTTCAGCTAAAACCGCTGCTTGTGTAAAGCATCTTAAGTGAACCTTAGTTCATAAGTTTTCACTTACATGCACATTTAGATAAAGTGAGCTACATAAAATCACTTCAGGGAAATACTGAAGTTGAAACTAAAATATACTCAGTCTGAGATGTAAACAGTCATTCAGAGTGGTTTGGTGCAAATTGGTTCACTGTAGAGAAACTTAGTGACTCATTTCTTTACAGTGGTGGTGACAGAAACCAGGGGTCACCATGTCTACAACACAAATTTTGCCATTTTATTTACCATCCCAATGAGCCTACACATGTCTTCTGAGTTTTAAGTCATGCTGATAACGGGAAAATAGTGGTAAATTAGAAAAAATAAGGTGTTTCAGAACTATGTTACCTGCAAGTATCTCCCCGTCATACATTTTAGACACAAAATAAACATTTTAGGACAAAACTGTCTTTGTAAAACAATGACATTACATGTAATGACTTTCTGTGAGGACACTTTGAGTCATTAAACTCTTCAGACGTCTGGTTCCTATCAACTCCACTGTGAACAATTCTGTACAGTTGGTATCTCTACAACAGAGCACTTCACACCAACCCACTCTGAATGACTTTATTTACAACTTTACCATTAAACTATGCAGAAATTTTGAAAAATTGGTGGAACTCCCCTTTAAGGACAAATGGAGTTTTAGAGCTTAGATTTACAGTAGGTTTCGTCACTCATGGTTTTGATAGTTGCAAGAAGACTGTAAAACACTTAAGTGTAACCCTTAACTAGGAACAGCAATAAAATTTAAGTATACTCTTTTGTTTTATGTTAGCAGCCACAAACTTCAGTGCTAGACGACCGTTTCTCTCCAGAATTCTCAAAGAGTAACTCATGCAGATCTTACACCAATGACTCAAGTACACATGGTACACGTTTGGTGATTATCATTCCCATAAATGTGAATCAATACCAGAAAAATGAAGGCCAAACTGTGGATCTTAGTGAATAAACTCTGTACCCTCTTCAAATTAAGTTCTATTAAGACTACTGTATTTGGCTACCAACATGGAGACTTTATAACACATGCATAAGCAATTAATAATATATTTCTAAAGCAACACTTGAGTACACGTGAACAGCCATTAATCCTAAGATGCCATAAAATGCTTAGTGAAGTAATGACATTGTATTTACACAAGGGGCCTTAAACACGGGTTATGAAACAGCATTACCAAGTAATGGTAAATCATAAGCCTAGTTAATAATTTTGTACCAGTCTATGAAAGATTGTGATGAAAGAAAGTGATCATTTCCATACATATTTTATACGCATATTTGTATAAATATACATATACATATACTTTTTTGAGTAAAACTAAAAATACTCCTGGTAAAATATTACTTGAGTAAAGTAATAATAATTGAAATCATTTCCACTTGAGTACCAAACACTGCTTGCTTTTCAATGTATTTAAGTATCTAAACTATTATCCTTATGCATCTAAACTAATTCTCCCTAATAGAAATTGTACATTTATATTTTGGCTCAAGTAGAAATACATAAAGCTGAAATATTGTGGTCCTGTCTAGATCAATTTCTTGTAAATGATGCTTTATAACAGTGTTTCAAATTCAGTGAGTGTCTGTCACTTTATTTAATGCCCCTTATGTGAACAGTGTCATTTATTTCATAAAACATCTACGTTATCCTGTGATTACTGGCATAAGCTGTTCATAAATACTCAAGTAATGCTTTTTAAATACATTATTTACTGCTTAAACATGTGTTATAACATGACCTTTGAAGGTGTCCTTCAAAAACGGAGTTACTAAAGCTTTACATTATGTAGACATTCTTTAAACTGTAAACAGTTTTTGTAATACACAGCTTATTTACACAAAATGGGTCTTAAAGAACCATCAATTGAATGATTCTTTGAAAAAAGAGTGCTTTTTCTATGGCATTATCCCAAAGACCCCTTTTTTGTGTGATTTTTAAGAGTGAAAGTGAAAAACTGAACTGCATCAATGGAAAAAGCTACTGGACTTCTACATGTATTGCTTTAATTAACAGGTTTTCCGCTTTGTTTACATTGAAAGCTGTTGTATGACTTTAAAGGGGAATTCCATTGGTTTACATTTTTGTTTAATTAAAAAAGTTAAGATTTAAACAGTCATTCAGAGTGATTTGGTGTGAAATGCTCAGTTCACTGGGATACATTCATAGTCTGATGTGAAAAAAACAAGAAACAGAGCCAGAACTGTTTACATTGTTGGTGATAGGAACCAGACGTCCACCTCTAACAGCTCCCTCACAGAAAGTTATTACATGAAATGGTTTTGAATTGACTATCAGATGCCTGAGACATTGTTTTTCGATAGTTTTAAGAAGATTTTGGCCTCAAACATATATAGTTGCTTCTGTGCAAAAACCTTGTATCTCCATTTTTGCTGTTTTTCATGTTTTGTGCTGTTTGAATACACCCGCAGCCCTTTGCATGGTATTAAAATTCATAATAATTAGGCAAGTAAAAAATGGTCCTTAAGATGGTTATTTAACAATGTTTTTGCCATCTCATGCAAAATGATCATTTTGGAGACACAAGGTTATGTTCTGACAGTAATGATATATTTTTTAATCCACAGGGGTGCATGCAGGGTGCTGTAAGGCAAAACAGTCCCCAAATAAAAATTATGTTTTCAGATTTATCACTATTTTACCATCATCAACATGACATATAAGACGCGTAGAAGACATGTGTAGGTTCACTGGTGGTTTTGGATAGTAAATGAAATGGCTATATCTGTGTTGTAGACATGGTGACCCCTGGTTCCTATCACCACCACTGTAAGGAAATCTGAGTCTGTAAGTTTCTCTACACTGACCCATTTCACATCAAACCACTCTGAATGACTTCATTAACATCTCAACCACTGAATTATGTGGGAATTTTCAGAACTCTGCAGAATTCCCCTTTTAATTACCACATCTAATGGATTCAGATAGAGTTCAGTCAGCACGGACGGACTTCACAACTGCAATTCATGTTGGCATGTTTTCAGTGAAAGTCTAACAATCCTCGTGGTTCACTTTGTGAATGATAACTAACTTCTCTAACGTAAGCTGAGTGAATAAGAAAAGTGTCCTACCTTTCCACAGTCACTCCCAAGTGTGAGGACTTAAAGCAAATAAAATCCTATAGAATGACCGCTCCTTCCCTTTTGACTTCTGCTTTAGTCTGACCACCCAGACAGAGGCACCATCACAAAGTAAGCGTTTTCCTGCCCTCTTCTTCTCCTCTCTTCTTCTTCTCTTCTCTTTCCTTTCTTCACCTCCTGCTCTCCCTTCTGCTTCCAACCCCAGCAGCGTGAGCGTGTGTTTTGTCCTCCCTCAAAGTGTGTGAGCCAGCAGAGAGACTCTGACATGCTTACGAGAGAGAGAGAGAGAGAGAGAGAGAGAGAGAGAGAGAGAGAGAGAGAGAGAGACCAATCAGGAGGAAGAGGTGGTCAGAGTTTAAAAGTGGAGTTTTCTCTTCACTTACAGGCTTAGAGAGTTGTGGATAGTAACTACTTACATTCACTCAGTTTTATGTACCTACACTATAGAATACATACTGATGAACTCCATGGAAAAAAACTGTACTGTAATTTGTATCTAATTCATGCTGTTTCCTGCTGTTGCTGGTTTTCTTCATGTAATTCTTTTGATAACGTTTCTTGGAAATTGTAATTATTCAAATGAATACAAAAATGAACACAAACTTCTTAACGTTATTTTGACTCTTATCGTCTGCTTTAGCCCACTGATGCTCCCATAATCCCACTGCCTTACATGACCTAAGCCAACAATTCACCATATCCCAATAACAAACTCCTGCAAATTTGACCATGAAGTGAGTAGCTGTGTGAATGTCAGTTAATCGTATGTATGTGTATTGTCACGAAACGCATGCACAAATCCAGTACAACACCAAAGCTGAGCTTATCACTTGTGAACATGTTCACTACTGAGGAAATTGTTCAGTTCAGTCATCCCATGATTTATCAGTCTACTCAGGCTTTAGCAGAGCTCAGTAACACTGAGATTAATAACTGATCATCACATTGATTTATCAGTCTACTCAGGCTTTAGCAGAGCTCAGTAACACTGAGATTAATAACTGATCACATTGATTTATCAGTCTACTCAGGCTTTAGCAGAGCTCAGTAACACTGAGATTAATAACTGATCATCACATTGGTTTATCAGTCTACTCAGGCTTTAGCAGGCATTTTTGTAAAGAAGCCGTTTTGAGTTCTTCTCTATTCCACAAATAAATCGAAACTGTGTAATAAACCTTTTAATTATGCTCTCTATAGAGGATATGTTAGCTTATTATTACTTAGAAAATCAATAAAACGTCATTTGACCGGTGCACAAACTTATGCATACAACTTTATTCTTAATAAACTAACTAAACATTTTACAGTGCAAGAAAATTACAACATGATAATGAATACACTCAATTTTTATTTACAAACATTTTTGTGTTATTTTATTATAATTTCTCACTGAAGCTAACTGTGTTCCTTGCTAACTACAGAACTGATGAAGACAGAACTAGAAATATTAAAGTAATTTTATGCATTTATCTGTGACCGAATTGGTTTTATATCACTGAAAACATTGATTCTGAACTTTTGAACAGCAGTGTAAATCAAATTATGATTCATTTATATTTTTCAAATGATAATACTTCAGCTAAATTCTTAAATTTAAAGAGTTCTATGAATCAATTCCATTGATTCAACCATTTTTTTCCCTAAAGTACTTTTCAATGGATTGTTCTTTAAAGAGTAATTTCTGTAAATGAAAAATAACCTTTAGAAAGTTTAAAGATCCTCAACTTAATGTAAAGGTACTATAACAATTGAAGGTTTTTCCTTGAACCGTAACTAGAGACCTTAATTTTTTAGAGTTCTTCCCAAGTTCCACTTTAGTTGTGTTGGTTCAGCTGCTGGACTGCTTTACTGTTGCTCACTCCTCTCACTTTGGAGCTTTAGCATTTTATTTTAGACCAAGAGGATCCCAAAAGAGAAGAATTAAATCTAACAAGTTTCAGTTCCTATACTGATAGATGCTGGATGGAGTAAGATGTTCCACTGTAGTTCTATTTAAAGCCTCAGAACTTAAGTAGTTGATAGGTTTTTTTTTTCTATTTTCTACTAGAGTCACTGCTTCACTATGGTAACAGTACTTTTTTGTATTGTAGTTTGGGTTCAGACCCCTCTGCTCTTCTTCTTGTTGTACTGGTGTATATGGAGCAGGGTTACAGCTATATTTAAGTCATGCTCTCAGTCACTCATCACTGCTAGCAGCTGAAGAGATTGCAGCAGACTTTTCCAAACCCCTCTGACAGCTGAGCTCCACACTGCCCCACAAATGCTCGTCCACCTCAAACAGTGCAGCAGCCCCACATACAGCCAGAACTGACACACAATTTCATATCAATATTAAATAAAATATTGTTAAATATTCCGATTCAGTATTTATTTATAATGGGATAGTCTTCACTGTTCACTATTAATCAGCTTTAGACAAAATACAAACCAAGCTAAAATGGACCTGTTACATGCTGGCATACAATTTGATATAAAACCATAAGTCATATTTCTATTACATATTGTCACTGTTATAATAAAGTCTGTTATAATAAAGTCTTTATTATAACCCTAAATTATTACAATGTTTGTATCTCTAAAATGGTAACTTATAGGGCAACGGTCAGAACTAATTTGTCAGGACCACCACAGAGCAGGTATTATTTAGGTGATGGGTCATTTTCAGTACTGCAGTGACACTGACTTGGTGCGGTGTGTTAGTGTGTCTTGCGTTGGAGTGGGTGGATCAGACACAGCAGTGCTGCTGGAGTTTTAAACATCTCAGCGTTGCTGCTGGACTGAGAAACAAAAACATCCCGCCAACAGTGTCCTGTGTCCACTGATGAAGGACTAGAGAATGACCAAAACAAACTCTGCAGCAGTAGATGAGCCATCGTCTCTGACATTACATCTACAAGGTGGACTCACAAGGTAGGAGTGTCTAATAGTGGACAGTGAGTGGACACAGTGTTTAAAAGTGATCCACTCGTACCAGCACAACACACACTAACACACCACCACCACGTCAGTGTCACTTCAGTCCTGAGAATTATCCACCACCCAAATAATACCTGCTCTGTGGTGGTCCTGTGGGGGGTCCTGACCAATGAAGAACAGGGTAATAAAGTATGCAGAGAAACAAATGGACTAGAACTACAAAGTGCTCCTAAATGGTCAGTGAAGCTGATAAAATTTACAGTGAGAGTAGAAAAGAGGAGGAGGTTTTATTGTTATGGCTGATCAGTATATATTTTAAGACTTATTCAGCAACTATGATAAAATTTCCCAGAACTATTCAAATTAATTCAGTAAGCACTATGAAATATTTAATTACTACTATGAAACTAAATTGTAAGTTATGTTTGTATGAAAACAGACCCTTAGCCTTGAGGCAATCTGTGGACAAAGGACTTTTTCCAGAGTATATTAACCAGCTTTGGTGAAACAGACAAACAAGAGTTGTATGACATTAGGCTATCAGCCTTTTCCAAGTCTCTCTCACTGAAGTGTAACCCATCCAACACCACGTCTACACACTCACACTGAGGTGTCTCAGGTTCCATTCACTGAGGTGACTAAACTTGTGTTTACGTCCATCAGCCATTAATAAGGTGAGAATATGAGAACAGGATAGAGTTTCAATTAAGTTAACCTTGATAGGTTAACTTAATTGATAACCTGGATGTTCATGTCAGAGTTTCCCACAGAACACACTCACTAACAATAACAACACACCACACGTGTGTCCCGCTGTGTCTATTAACAGTCTTTATTATTCCAAATTCCAGAATGGACCAGCAGTCTTGTGGCCAGAAACTGACCAATGATGAATGGGGTGATAACTGTGCAGCAACAGATGAGCTACAAACTGTAATTGTACACCTATGTAGTGCAGATTCATACTGGATTAATATCACTCCATAATTATTACTGTCAGACTGTAAAACTACACACACTGCAGATTCATACTGGATTAATATCACTCCATAATTATTACTGTCAGACTATAAAAACTACACACACTGCAGATTCATACTGGATTAAAATCACTCCACAATTATTACCGTCAGACTGTAAAACTACACACACTGCAGATTCATACAGGATTAAAATCACTCCACAATTATTACCGTCAGACTGTAAAACTACACACACTGCAGATTCATACTGGATTAAAATCACTCCACAATTATTACTGTCAGACTGTAAAAACTACACACTGCAGATTCATACTGGATTAAAATCATTACACAATTATTACCGTCAGACTGTAAAACTACACACACTGCAGATTCATACTGGATTAATATCACTCCATAATTATTACTGTCAGACTGTAAAACTACACACACTGCAGATTCATACTGGATTAAAATCACTCCACAATTATTACTGTCAGACTGTAAAACTACACACACTGCAGATTCATACTGGATTAAAATCACTCCACAATTATTACCACCAGACTGTAAAAACTAAATATGCTACAGTTTCATACTAGATTAGAATGAAAGGTCTCTTTCGTGTTTACTTACATTTTTGATGGTATAGGCTTTATCTGGCCTGGACAAACAGAAACACTGCAGTGGTTGAGCTTGAGTGATGATGTGCTTGTGCCAAATTTCAGTCATTCCTTAACTCCTTTAACTCAATTAAATAATCAAGAGACATAATGAGGCAAGATTTTGTCTTGCTAATTGCTCAGCTAAAGTGGGGCTTTTACACACGCCAATGTCACTGCTGTGCTGAGAGTAAACAGTCATTCAGTGTTTTGATGTGAATTGCTTGACACTGCCTGATATCTAAGACATTTTCATGGTAGTTTTAAGATAAGATTTTGACGCAAAACATTTGTTTTAAAATTCATTTATGGTAGAGAGGTAGATGCAGGGTGTTATAAGGCAAAATCATCCTTCAGAAGATGCGTGTAGTTTCACCGGTGGTTTTGAATAGTAAATAAAATGGCTATATTTGTGTAGACATGGCGACCCCTGGTTTCTATCACCACCACTAAAGAAATCTGAGTCTGTACGTTTCTCTACAGTGAACCATTTCACACCAAACCACTCTGAATGACTGTGCTGACATCTCAGTGACTGAAATATGCAGAAATGTTCCACGGATCCAGAGCATACTTAAATAAATCTGTAGAACTTGTCAAAACAATTAGTAGAATATAAGTTTTTTCCAAAATGAAACACTTTTGCACTGCAGTGATAAACATGTACACAGAAAATTCGTCATATAAGACAGCTGTGTACATTAATGTGTTGTT